AACAAAAAAAAACAAAAATAAATATAACAGCACACAAAAACATAAAGCAAAAGCGCCCCGAGCAGCCCGAGAAGATAAAGGGGTAGGAGTTGAGGCAGCCGCGCCATAGTCAGCGCGAGCAGCATCGTATAATGAAGAGCGCGTCATTATCCTGAAGATACATAAACAATACAATAGGAGCAACAACAACCTACCTCTGGATTTGGCTCGGCAAGGCGCAACTATGCTCAACTATAAGCTAAACAAAGCAGCTACAATAATAACAACAACAATAGACAAGAGGTTACAGTGCAAGCGAGTGGATAATATGTTTGCATTGTTTTTGTTTTCTAGTTCTTCTCTTTTTGCTTGACGTTTAATTACCAAACGGAGGCAGTTCCTTGAACCGGCCTAAAGCGTGCTGCCAGTGAAAGTTTTACAGGTAAGAGCAGAATAAAAGCCCACTAGATAGTCACAATATCGGCAAAAGGTACAATAGAGTCGGCCGAAATGTGTAAAAGCTGCATATGTCAAGCGCATTTTCAAACTTACTGTTGACGATTTTATAGTACTTACATCACATTCCAACTTTAGCCTGAAGTGACAGAAGTTAGTGCTGCACTAGAATTTATTTGACAGTTTGTAACTGAAAGATTTACGTAAATTCAAGGAGAACATTGAGTCTGGCTAAGAGCACAAGCTTGTATTGAAACTTATCTCCATTATTTCGTTTCATCACGATAAGATGTTCTTCAAATGGAAGATATTGAAGGTATGAACTTGTTTGGGTAGTTCTTTAAAATGGACAAATGATCTGTAGTCAGAATCAATTGCAAGTAAGCTTTAAAAATATTTCTTACGAATTCACAAATATATTTGAAATAAAATATTAAGTAGTATATTTCATGTTTTTATATATTTAATAAAGATTCGAAATAAAAATATCAAAAAATGTCGAACCCTTTGAGATAGATTGTTTTGCAGTTATGTGATTTGTTCTTCAGCTTGGAGTCAACCTTTCTCTTATGTGTTTTTTTGTACCCTAAAGAAATTGCAAATTGGTAAGAAGGGTATATTGGTTTTGTGGAGATTTATCTTTCAGGTAGAAGATCGCATTTCCCAACCCATAAAGAATATATAAATATATTCTTGCTAGCCATGTCTATGTACTTACCTGTCTGTCCATTAAATATTACAGCCAGATAATTAATAAAAATAAAAAATTAAATAAGAATAGCTTCCTCTAAGGCTTGCACAGCTCAAGTTTGTTGAGCTTGTTGAGATAGTCATCAGCAGCTCAGGGTATAAAACTGTCGGGCACTCCCGACTGGCGCACTCTCACTTGTTTTATATTAATTTGGTATAGTTAAAATAGTTGCATGCAAAGTAAAATGCATTCTTTGTTTTCACAAAAGTTGCAATTTAATTAAAAAAAATAAAGTTCTATCGAGAATAACTGTCAGATATATATTTGTTATTTATAATATTCACAGCACGCTTTGAATTGTGTTTTTTTTTTGTTGTTTGGATATTTTCAAATTTGTTATGTCCGCTATTTTATTTTATATTTTAATTAAATTCTGATTGCCATGCGATGTCGACCCTTGATCACCTTCAGACTACGCTCGTGTCTTGGCATAAATCACAAAAGCATAGCACACTTTTATGCGGCAATGGTTGATCAATTGCGGCTGTAATTTGGTAAATTAAAAGTTTATTGCGCAAAAAGTGACAAGTGCATGGGCGGAAACTGTCAAGAGGCACCGCTCTCATAAGCCCCAAAGCAGGCACTAGCGGGCCACGAGGAGCAGCCACAAGTGTTCATTTGTGTTAAGCTTGCAAAATTGTTTTACTTATTATTTGCCTCTGCATGCTGCACATGGCGTATGAGTGATGTTTATATGAAAATTATGCAAAATGCATAAAAAAAAAAAAAATATATATATATTTGAAAATAAAATCCCAGAAGGGCAAAGGATGGCTCGCATGCTGGTTCTACCACTTTCTGCTGTGCGCTGCTAAAAATATGAGCCAAGAGCTTCTCATGGATTAAGCTTGCCTGCAATTTTGCCCACACTGCAACAAAGCGTAACCTGAAAAGAAGCATAATAATAAAAGGTGTATAACCAACAACAACAACAACAGGAACAACAACAACGACAACGGGCTCAAGTGCAGCAAAAATATTTAATAAATTTTAGTAGCAAACAAGAGCCTTGAGCCATAAAAAAATACAGTTTAATATACAGTTGAATAGCGAAAGAGAAGAGTATATTAATTAAATGTGCATATTAAGGTGTGATTTACTAAATAGTCGCTGTAATTAAAAGCTTATGCTCCTTTTTCTATTCTATTGAAAAGGATCTTTCTTGCCCGGCATAGGGTATCGCGCAGTCGTTGCCCGCTAGTTCTTACACTTTTCTGGCTGGTTTCAATGAAGTTGTTTGCGGCTGCAGCCTGCTGCACCTCCGCCTGGCCAAATGTTAATGGCAGTTGCTGTTGCCGTCGCGGCTGCAACAAATCTGTTGCAAACAATTCAGCCCACGGCCCGGACTCGAGGCGTGGCAAGGCGTTGCCGCTGGGCGTGTCAATAAAATTGAAGTGCGTCGACTGTGAAACGTTGACGTTGACGGCAATGCTGATGCTGATGCTGATGCTGATGCTGATGCTGATGGTGATGGTGATGGTATCTGGTGACTGGTAACGGATGTTTGCACTTTATGCATGCCACATTTGGCTTTAATGCGGCATAATCACCAAACAATTTCATTTCTCACACTCGCAGCGGCCGCAAACGTCATTGACATTGTCTTTTGCCTGTTTGCTGTTGGCTTTTGGCTTTTCTGCGAGTGTCAACAGTTTTGCAGGCTGCACGCAAACATGCCAAAACGCATTCGAAGAGCAATTCCCCCAACCACACCCATGTGTGTGTCTTTGTGTGTGTGTGTGTGTTTCGGGTCACTTAAGTTTTATGTGGCGAAACGCGTTACCAAATTGCGTTCAAATTGCGCACACAGATAACAGTTTTTCATTACGGCACATAAAAGTGTTTGCCTGTCATTGTTGTTGCTGTTGTTGTTGCTGTTGTTGCTGTTGTTGCCGTGGCAAATTGCTATGCCAACACGTGCTTCACTTTGCAGCTCATGTCAGCAGATCAAAGCGACAGAGCGACAGAGCAACAGGCGCTGCGTTCCTGCAGCTTGTGCCACTTAAACTGCTTTTGCCCAGCCCCTCCCCCCACCCAGCCACAACTACCCCAACTGACGCAATTGGGCTGCCAGAACATTACTGTACATTTCCAGTCCGCCGGCTGCGCCCAGTTGCCATTCGTCAGCATTGTCACAGGGCTGTTGCCAAGGCACAGCACTTAACCGGGAAGCCTCTAGCAGCCGGCTAGAGCTAGTTATAAGTTGGCTTATTTAGGGACTGGCGCCAGTTGTCATTATGGCCAGCTCGTCAGTGTCAGACAAGTTAATTTTTCAACTGCCCGACGCCCAACTGCCGACTGTTTTAAATATGTCGCATACGATATTAAAAAGAGAGTCTGATATGGCAATATTTTGGTATGCTAAGGCGAAGCGAGATTGATTGGCGCCCGAGTCGAGTGTCTGTTTGTCTATGCATGTGTGTGTGTTTGTGTGTGTGTGTGTGTGTGTCTGGCAGGGCAAAGTTGTGACTGACTGGCATTGTGTAGCAGGCTTTTAGGCGCTGACAATGAGCAACTTTTGCGCTTATCATGCGTGCAAGTTTCGCAGACGTTTTAATTGAAAAATACTTAGCAAACTCTTGTCCTTGTTTTCCTAGTTGTCGTACTCATAGTCGCTGTCGCTCTCGCTGTCGCCGTCGCCGTCGCTGTCGCAGTCAAAGTCTGCCTCAAGTTCAAGAGAGTGTCAAATGGCAAACACTTCAGCTGGAGTTCGGAGTCGAGCCGATGACGCTGCCAGGCGCCGTCCCTGCCGCTTGAGTGCACTTAGAGCTTGCCGGCAGAGCTAGCTGTAGCTGCGAAATGCACACGCATGCCATGGCAACACACCTGTGTGATAGCTTTGCCCTTAGTAAATAAACCCAACTTGATTTTAATTGCTGGCTCAAGCAGCGCCAGACCCCATAGAACCGCAGGGCACGACTCCGCTAAAAATGTCCCACTAACCCAAAACATCGCCCGGCTAACACTTAATGCCTCTCTTTCGCTTTCTCGGCGCTCTTCAGTTGCTCTCTTATGCGGCGTTGGCATTTTTAATTTTGCCAGGCTTTTAATTTACAAAAACTCTAGCGTAAGTGAGCGTGCACTTGTGTGTGTGTGCGTGTGTGTGGGTGTGTGTGTTTTGTTAACGTGTGCTCAGGTTTGACTCTGGCTGCGACCGTGGCCACGCATCACGTCCAGTTCATGGCTGGCTGCACGTTTCACACTTTCTTATTACGCGCTCGTAAAAGGAAACTGCTGCCTGCTGCGCTGCCAGAATTATTTCCATTAATTTAAGCACACACACACACACATATATATATATATATATATATGCTTGTGCTCTCGGACCTGTTTGTCACTGTAATAAAGTTGGCAACAAATCGCCGTGCGTTTCTTGATCTTAATCCGTTGGCCGAGCGCTAACATTTTGACACGCACGTGTCGACTAAAAGTGTCGCATACATTTTAAAGTGATTAAAAAACTGCCACACACACACAGAGACACATAGTGGGCGTGTGTGTGAGAGGGAGAGAGATGGACAATAAGCATTTAAATGCGCGCAACGTGCAAAATATAAATTGTTGTCAGGCTGAGCAGGCCGAAAACCAATTGCAAGTCAAAAGCCACAAGCAGCCGCTTATCAGCAGCAGCCGAAACATTTGGCATTGGCACACAGCATCCACATTCCACTCGGCAGCTGGCATTCGTTGTGTTTCATTTCCATTTCGTTTCGTTGCGCTTTGCACGATTCGTGCGTCATCTCGCGTGCTTTCGGCAGCGCTTCGTTACGGCGCTCGACTGCAATCAGTTCGAATATGTCTTTCGTTCGGTTCGGTTGTCTATTGTAACGGTATCTATTCGCGCTCGAAACGCGTTCGTTCCACTGGGAACAGTCCAGCTTCAAAAGTAAACAACAACAATTAAGAGCATGCAAAAACTAAATAACATTCCAAGCTCGTCTCGAGTGCCAGTTGACAAAATTATACAGTTTCGACGATAGTTAATACAGCTGGGGAAATCTCCACTAATACGACTTACGCTTATAAGTAATTGCCGGCTTTTATAGACAGATCCAAGTTTCCCTTTGAATTTACATTAGCAATTTGCATTGATGAACTGCGGCGCGATGCGCGGCGTGCATGTTAAAAATCCAAGCATAATAATCATCGATATTCAAAGGCCTTAAAGCAAAGCAGCCGACCTTTGAACTCGCCCAGTCGCTGCCTCTCTATCTCAGTGCGTCGCTGATTATGTGTGTGTGCGTGTGAGTGTAAAAGTGTGAAAAAGCGCAAAATAAATATTAAAAGCGAAACGTGCATGGATTAGAAAGCATAACCAGCAGCTGAAACAATAACAATAAGAACAACAACAACAACAGCGGGAACAAGAAGCAAGGAGCAGGAGCAGCATCCGCAGCGCCAGTTTATTGAAACAGCTCGGAAAAGAGGTTAGTATTGGCAGAGCGTCTAGTTGTTGTTATTGTTTTGGCCATGCTTTATATTGCCTTTCGCTTAAGTTTTTCCTCGCCACCTGGCCGACCGCTTTTCCATTAGAGCAACGCGCGCTGATGCATAATTTAAGCAAAGTTTTCACTCGCACAGCTTTGCTCTCCTCTCCACCCCTTTCCACCCCTCTCCTCTCCCCTCCTCTCCTCTCCACTCGTATCTCAGCTGAACGTGCGGCTGCTCTGTTCTGTTATTTGCACTGAGTATTTTTGGCTGTGTGCATCAGCTGAGGCACACCTGGCCCAACCGCATATGCAGCAACAATCAGTTGACACCGCACCCGTTCCCCCCTCCCCGTTCTGCTACACCTCAAATCATCTTGATTTATGGCAATCGAAGGCGACTCTGGCCACAGACTGCGTGCTGCTGTTGCCGTACGCTTGACTACCTGCTATTTACATACTCGACTGCCTGCGCACAAATTCCGCCCAGCTGGAAACTAAATAATTATATGGCATAGTCCCCAATTGCTCTGTAGCTTGGCTCCGACAAGGATCTGGGGCTGAGCTAAACGAACATTTATGCTAAGCTCGAGTTATGTGCCACTTAGGAGGCGTGGCAGCCAGCTAAGGCACATACACCAGCCGCACTCATACGCCATGTGGTACGAGCGCCAAGCTCAGAGCTCGGAGCAGCAGCAGCAGCCGCATCCTCATCAAGAATGAATTAAAAGTTATTTTAAATTCGTGACATTCGCCTAATTTTGCATGTCTGTTTCTGCTACTTTGCCCAAGGGCTCGGTGTCACGAGAGTCGCTTGGCAGTCAGCAGCTGACACCTGCCAGACTGCCTCGCAGTTACATTTGTGACTATATCACATACACACACACACTCGCACACACACACACACACGTGCGGGATAGAGTCAGTTGGAGTGAATTAAATTTCAAATGTTTCTTAATTTACTTTTTCGGTTTCGCGTTGACAGTTCAAATTGCTATAACAAATTTTCTAACGTTACGCATGCCATTCATTCATTTCACTTTGCACTTACACACACACACGCACACGCACACACGCACATACACATACACTGGCTCACTGGGGGGCACACATGCATAAGTGAAATATTATGTACAACTGTCGAGTTTGTTTTCTCTTGCTTTTTTCGCGTGCTTTCTTTCATTTTTTTTTCTGCATTTTCTTTTTCCTTTTTTTTTTTTGTTGAAAATAAATGAAGCCATTCGAGCGCAATCAGAGTTTCCCATTAAAGCGTGCCACACACGCATTGGCGTTGCGAATTGATGACAGCACAACGCAATGCCATATAGGATACGCATAAAAGCAAGGACTGCGTGCCGGAGAGGTAGCATTGCCTGTCAATGTTGTTGTCAATGTTGTTGTTGTTGTTGTTGTTGTGCCAGAGACCGAAGGTAGCCGGAGAATGGCAAGCTGATTGCCACAAACGAAACACTAAATCCCAGCGATTGATTTCGCAATTGTGTGTACGATTAAAGCCATTCATTGGCAGTAATAAGTCATGTGTATGCCACTTGCCCGAAAGTCAAACAAATAAATATTAAACAAATTTGGATTTAAAACAGTTGCTTCTTGTGGCACATACAGTTTGTTGCGAGTCCGGCGAAACAGTTGCCCACAGATCGTTTTGACCCTGGTCGGCACATATCGGCACATATTGGTCATACCTGGGATGCAAGGGAAAGGCGACTATGTTCTCTTAGTAGACAGTATTTCGCTCTTAAAATAGCGGATTCTTACTGAACGATATATGTTATCGAATTATATGAACATTCAGTATCTGAGCTTGAAGATATCAAAGAAAGACCCTATCAAAAAATAAAATCAGGCTTCTTTATCTTAAACAATATCTCTACAGGCCACAATTGTTGTGTGATGCATTCGCATAATTTTGAAATGTGTAATTTGTCAAAATTAATTCAATATACATTGCCAAACGATTTTCGGTCAGCAAAATGTTTGCATTCCATTTTGCACCATTTTTTTTTACTAAGAGTAAGGTATTTCTCTGTAGAGCATGATTTTCATCTTTTTTTTTTTGAATTCATGTATCTGATCTGACATACACGTACGTTACCAGAAAAACAATTATGTGTAATAAGTTTTTTAATATAGCGACAAGTGTAAAAGAATTGGGACAAAAAATCGAATTGACGTTGTCGGTTACATTGCCTCTGCTCAAAGTCACAATCGAGACTATTATTTGTGTATATACAAAAAGGATTTGCACATTTTTAACAAAATTAAATTGTTCGCTACAGACAGGCATACAAAAATGCAGTTTCAATTTTGTATAAAAACTTAATGAAAACAGAGGAATCTGATAAAATACCATTCAAACAATAAAATACTACGGTATGTGAATTGAATCTTACTCGTGCTGGCACTTTTGTTTTGCTTTTTTTATGGGATTTGCATTTTTATGCAGTTGCAAAGTTGTTAGTTTTTTGTTTTGGTCGCGTTTTGTTTAAGTGAGAAGCATGTAGAGAGGCGCTTTTTGCAGTGCAGCGTTGCCACAAAGTGTAAAGTGCACATGGTGGCAATGACGTAAATTAAGTTGCTTTTCGCATTACATACTTTGCGGCCGACACGCAAATCCTCTAGTCTGACGCACTTGAGAACTTAGTTTAACGAGCCGAAACAAGTGGCTGCCATCAATTTGTATCTGCAACTGTAGCTGGTTCTGTATCTGTATCTGGAAATGTATCTGGAAATGTATCTGTAGCAGTGGCTGCTGCTGTTTAAGCCCATCTGCTCGGGAATTTGTCTATTTGCTTTTGGCGCGCAGCTCTAAAAACCGTTTACAATTTGCAGTTAACTCAGGATGCAAACAAAATTACTGCGCGCAAAGTAAATAAATACTCGCACTTGAGAAACTTTTGTCGGAACTCGTTTGGGGTTTTTTGTAAACAGCAACCAAATTGAAATTAAATGTAGTGCAACTCAATTACAACTTATTGCAGCCACTGTGCGTGGCCCAACGCAGGCGGATGCGTGACAACAATTTGTTGTACTCTGTTTTTCTTTTTTTTTTTGTCGGTTCATATCTTTGCTTCAATGGCGCTTCAACAAAATGAAATTTGTGTCAAAACGTTGCATTTTCAACTGGCCGCGGTCCACCTCGGCCCGCTCCATTGCCGGCCCGCCAACTCAGCCTCCATTCGCACGGCAAACGGCTTGGCTACTCGCGTAGCTCTTGAGTTTTAGGCGACAGACAGACGCCGAGTGATGGCCAGCCATCCCAGCCCGTCCGGGAAAAGTGGGCGTAATCGTTCTGCTCGTTATCCATGCAGCCGGCGGCATTTTTAGCAGCGATGTCAACTAACAACATTTTCCATGTCCCGTCGTTAGTCCTGGCATTGCAGTTGTTGTCTTTGTTATTTTTAGGTTGCCATGGCACTTTTAGTTGATTAGGGCTATAATGCGAAAAACAACTCGAGTGATAAGCTTGCCGATTACCTGCAAACCGTTCGTGTAATTCAAGCACATAGAGATACAATACATTTTGTCTATCACCTGCAGATCTTCAGGTAACTAATCTCATTGCTCTCTCTATTCGATAAGCTGCAGTTTTGCATGGGAGCATAAGTTTATTCCTTCCTTCGAGCGCATCAAGTACAGGGTATGCGTCGAGTGAATAAATTTGATGAAGTGCCTGCAAAAAAAGCCGCGACAAGCTTTGGGGTGGATGAATGGCGGGCAAAAAAATAAAAAAAATGTATTCATTGGCTAAGGTGAAAGGCGTTGTTTTTGCCTTCCGCTCTTGTTTACCGTTGAGCTCTTTTTGTTTTTTGCTTGCTTTCGTTTCCTTTTTTTTTTTGTGTTTTTTTTTTTGTGTTTTGTGCTTGCAACGCGATGGTTTTGCTAACAATTTGAATGGGTTTTGGGCAAAGTGCATTGCCCTGCAGCAAAAGCAAGAAAAACAGCTAACATAGTCAAGATGAACTGCATTGTGGGCGGGCGTAGGTAAATGAAGTCCAGGCCCGGCCGGGGCCAGTCGGGGCTAGAATTGAAGTGTGGAACGTGGTCGGGCTTTGATTAACTTCCATCAGCGCTGGGATATCTATTCAGAATTAAAATTTATTGCCAATTTGCGGCAAATTCGATTAAGCTTATGTTCGCGAGCACAAACGCAAAGCAAAGCGGAGCAGAGCAGAGCAGACCGAAGCGGAGCAAATTGAGGCGTAGCGAAGCAGGAAAAACACTCAGCCGGACATGAAAGTGAGCCTGGGAATTTAAATCCAATAGATAAAGACAGACGGCCTAGCTGGCCGGGCCCCTCAAACTGAAAGTTGAAAAGCTGTTGAAGTTTATTGGAAAAATATTCAAATCACGTGGGTGGTCTCAGCTCATCGAATGCCAGCCACCAGTCAGAAGGCAGGCCAGTGATAAAAACGGCAAAGAAATTACTTATAGATTGAATGAAATTGTCTGGGCCAAGACCAAGACTGGCCAAATCGCTTTGCTATATTTTTGATCAATTTAAATGCCTGGCTAAGACAACGAAGTCTCTAATGGCGGCGCCTAAGCCTTGGCTTTAGAGTGCAGGCCCTTGGCGCTCGAATATAAGTATATTTTTAGCCAAGCCAAGTAATTAAAATCGCAGTCTGTCTGCCAATGCGAATGGCTAAATGATGAGCTCGAACACGAGCCTCACCCGGCTCCAAAAACTTATCTAATAAGTGTCAGTCGGGCCGTGACAGCAGGCGCAATAGCGACAAGGCCTAAACGTCCAATATGGCCAATATAGTAGTCCATATTAAGCGTGCTGCGGTTGACCTGGCAGCTTGTTTGACCAAAAAAGTTTCACTTTCACTGCGGTAGGAGCAGCTCCTATCACGTTCACGGGAGGCGTTGAAAAATCAATGCCTATAAATCGCTTGACGTCTGCTCGGGCTTGTTTATGGCACAGCGATTTATGCGCCGCATATTTATTTATGAACAACAATTTGCCGGCTGCTTTA